TGTGTGTGTGTGTGTGTGTGTGTGTGTGTGTGTGTGTGTGTGTGTAGAGAATGCTATGAAAAGATCAGATTCAGAGAAAATCACTGGAAGTTAATATTTCCAAATATTGTTAATAATCTAGGTTGTGCCCATTAAGTTTATCATATTTCTTTTTATTTAAATTAAATAATTACAATTATTTTATTAAAATAAAAATACACTGAACAATTAGACTTTTAGCATGTGTTCACAGGGACCATGTAGAACAAACTCCCACTTCGTCGTAAGGATAATCTAGCTAGAAGTGCGGCTCTTACTTTAGTTAGTCAATTATGTCAGTTTTGACAGCGGAGTTCTGAGTAACCTCCCTGGTAGGGTTGTACCCAAAAAAGCTAGACATAAAGTTTTATTTATTTTATTATTTTTCTCTGTCATTTCTTTATTAAGGATTTTTTAAATTCATTTTACATACCAACCACAGATCCCCCTCTCTTCCCTCCTCCTGCTCCTCCAGCCTTCCCCCAACCCACCCTCCATTCTCCTCCATCCACCTCCAACAAGGTATGGCCTCCCATGGGGAGTCAGCTGGGCCTGGTACATTCAGTAGAGGCAGGTCCAAGACCGTCTCCCTTCACCAAGGCTGTGCAATGTGTCCCCCCATAGGTAGTGGGCTTCACAAAGCCTTCTCATACACAGGGATGGATCCTGATCCCACTGCCAGGGACCCCTTCAGCAGATCAAGCTACACAACTGTCTTGATTATGCAGAGGGCCTAGTCCAGTCCCATAGAGGCTCCATAGCTGTTGGTCCAAAGTTTATGAGTTCCCACTGGTTTGGTTTGATTTTCTCTGTAGGTTTCCCCATCATGATCTTGATGCCCCTTGCTCATAGAATCCCTCTTTCCTCTCTTTGACTGGACTCTTGGTGCTTGGCCTGGTGCTTGGCTGTGGATCTCTGCATCTGCTTCCATCGGTTACTTGAGAAAGGCTCTATGATGACAGTTAGGGTATTCACCAATCTGATTACTGCAGTAAACCAGTTCAGGCACCCTCTCCACTATTGCTAGTAGTCTAAGGTGGGGTCGTCCTTTAGATTCCTGGGAAATTCCCTAGCACTGAGTTCTCTCCATTCCCATGATGTCTCCCTCTATCATGGTGTCTCTTTCGTTACTTTCCCACTCCATCCCTGTTCCAGCTCGATCATCCCACTCCCTTATGTTCTCATCCCCATTTTACTCATGGAGATCTCATCTATCCCAGAGTGATCCACGTGTCCCTCTTCAGGTCCTTCTTGAAGTTGTGGGTTGTAGTTTGGTTATCGTTTGCTTTACATCTAGTGTCCACTCATGAGTGAGTACATACCATGTTTGTCCTTCTGAGTCTGGGTTACCTCATTCAGGATGATATTTTCTAGTTCCATCCATTTGCCTGCAGATTTCATGATGTCATTGTTTTTCTCTGCCGAGCAGTACTCCATTGTGAATATGTACCACATTTTCTTTATCCAGTCTTTGGTTGAGGGGCATCTAGGTTGTTTCCAGGTTCTGGCTATTACAAATAATGTTGCTATGAACATAGTTGAGTATATATCCTTGTGGTATGATTGAGCATTCCTTGGGTATATGCCCAAGAGTGGTATAGCTGGGTCTTGAGGTAGATTGATTCCCAATTTTCTGAGAAACCGCCATTACTGATTTCCAAAGTGGCTGTAAAAATTTACACTCCCACCAACAGTTGAGGCATGTTCCCCTTGCTCTGCCATCCTCTTCAATACAAGCTGTCCTCAGTGTTTTTGATCATAGCCATTCTGACAGGTGTAAAATGGTATCTCAGAGTTGTTTTGATTTGCATTTCCCTGATGACTAAGGATGTTGAGCAATTCTTTAAATGTCTTTTGGCCATTTGAGATTCTTCTGTTGAGAATTCTCTATTTAGCTCTGTAGCCCATTTTTTTAATTGGATTGTTTGGTATTTTGATGTCTAGTTTCTTGAGTTCTTTATATATCTTGGAGATGAGCCCTCTGTCAGATGTGGGGTTGGTGAAGATCTTTTCCCATTCTGTAGGCTGTCATTTTGTCTTATTGACTGTGTCCTTTACTCTACAAAAGCTTTTCAGTTTCAGGAGGTTCCATTTATTAATTGTTGATCTCAGTGTCTGTTTACTGGTGTTATATTTAGGAAATGGTCTCCTGGGCCAATGCATTCAAGACTACTTCCTACTTTCTCTTATATCAGGTTCAGTGTAACTGGATTTATATTGAGGTCTTTTATCCACTTGGACTTGAGTTTTGTGCATGGTGACAGATATGGATCTATTTGCAATCTTCTACATGCTGACATCCAGTTATGCCAGCACCATTTGTTGAAAATGCTTCCTTTTTTCCATTGTACAGTTTTGGCTTCTTTGTCAAAAATCAGGTGTTCATATGTGCGTGGATTAATGTCAGGGTCTTCAATTCAATTCCATTGGTTCACATGTCAGTTTTTAAGCCGATACCAAGCTGTTTTTATTACTATAGCTCTATAGTAGAGCTTGAGGTCAGGGATGGTGATGATCCAGGGGTGGATTTATTGTACAGGATTCTTACAGCTATGCTGGGTCTTCTGTTTTTCCAAATGAAGTTGAGTATTGTTCTTTCGAGGTCTGTGAAGAACTGTGTTGGGATTTTGATGGGGATTGTACTCAATTTGTAGATTGCTTTTGGTAAGATTACCATTTTTACTATGTTAATATGTTAATACTATCAATCCATGAGCATGGGAAATCTTTCCATTTTCTGATATCTTCTTCAATTTCTTTCTTCAAAGACTTAAAGTTCTTATCATACAGGTCTTTCACTTGCTTAGTTAGAGTTACCCCAAGGTATTTTATATTATTTGTGGCTATTGTAAAGGGTGATTTTTCTCTGATTTCTTTCTCAACCCATTTATCATTTGTATACAGGAGAGCTACTTTTTTTTTTTTTTAAAGTTAATCTTATATCTTGTGTTCATCAGCTGTAGAAATTCTCTGGTAGAATTTTGGGGGTCACTTATGTTACTATCATATTGTCTGCAAATAGTGAAAGTTTGACTTCTTTTCCAATTTGTATCCCCTTCATCTCCTTTTGTTGTCTTATTGCTCTAGCTAGAACTTTGAGTACTATATTAAATAGATATGGGGAGACTGGACACCCTTGTCTTGTTCCTGATTTTAATGGAATCTCTTTGAGTTTCTGTCCTTTTAATTTGATGCTGGCTGTCGGCTTGCTATAAATTGTCTTTATTATGTTTAGGTGTGTACCTCATATTCCTGATCTCTCCAAGAATTTTATCATGAAAGGGTGTTGAATTTTGTCAAAGACTTTTTCAGCATCTAGTGAGATGCTTATGTGGTTTTTTTCTTTCAGTTTGTTTATATGGTGTATTACATTGACAGATTTTCATATATTTCATATATTTTCATCTATGCATCTCTGGGATGAAGCCTACTTGGTCATGGTGGATAAATTTTTTGATATGTTTTTGGATTCAGTTTGCCGGTATTTTATTGAGTATTTTTGCATCAATGTTCATGAGGGAGATTGGTCTGTAGTTCTCTTTCTTTGTTGCATCTTTGTGTGGTTTGGATATCAGAGTAACTGTAGCCTCATAAAAAGAGTTTGGTAATGTTCCTTCTGTTT